CTACAGAAGCGTAACAGCAGTTATACCCCTCCCTATCTCTCCTATACCTACGTCAGCTATTCCTGACGTGGCAGGTCACAAACCTATCAGACGACACAATTATCCTACCTTACCTCCTACCTTACCATATATGGGTATTCTTTTGTTCTCTACATGCGGACATTCTCTACTTAGTTTCAGGCACGTACTCATGTTTCTTGCACATGCTCAGTAAGTCTGTTGCTGAATAGGAAAATTTTAAACTTTTCTGGAACTTTCCCATTCAGTATGTATATAGTAGTGGGAAGAAGCCCCTCTAGATGCATATCAGTAACATGGAAAGTTCATCAAATTGAAATTCATATCCAACACAAAGAAGATAAAGTAAAAAAAAAATGACAGAGTATGAGTGGTTATAATGTACACTAGAACGGGCATTTGTGATTCAGCTTGTTAATTATAACCTACCCATTGTCTTAGCATGTCATATGTTATTTGGGCATAGCAAGTTACATGATCACAACAACTTTGTTAATAATCAGAGTTCATCAAGTGATGTAAATACAGTCAAGTAATCAAAGCAAACCAATCTCATTAACCAATCTCAGCAGAATAAGCCTGGCAATTAATGGAACAATCATAATAATGCATGTGCAAAATGATTGAGAATTGAAAGGATCAAGTTACAGTTATGGCACTACAATAGTCTCTTAAGTGTATTTACCACAGTGATGTATATCAAAGGTAGCACAATGTTTTGGGTGACATGCTAACATTTACCAACACCCAACAACTATAAATGAAAATGCACATCTGTTTTTGGACATATGGCAGAGGACCTTCTCTTGTGTTCCTGTCAGGCTATGAAATGCATTTGGAGTTGTGTTTAACTCTTTCTCTCTGTGTTTTAAATCTGTGAAGATGCATCTTCTTTGCCAGGCTTTTGCTAATATTTTAGCATTTATCTTGACAACTTTAATTTGCATTTTTACTTGTTTGTTTTTATTCTATTTGTTTCAGATCTTGTTAATTGCCTTGAGTGCTTAGAATACACAAATAAGGAAATATTTTCAAAATTAGTTGTTGAAGTTTGATTGTGTAAAAATATTAAGAGAATAGAGAGATGAAATTTCAGTTACATGAAACGATGTTTCTCGGATACTGTGGAACACATTTTGAACCCCAAAATCTAAGGTAGAACAATGCACCAGAATAATACAGTAATTTAAAATGCTGAACAAAGACATAGAAGGCCAAGAATCATTGACAGTCAGAGGGTGACTTTGGGCCAGGCACTGTCTCTCATCCCAACCTAATTCACAGGATTGTCATAGGGAAAAATTGAGAAGACAGAGTGCTACGGATGCTTGCTACAGGAAATGTGGGGTGTACATTAAATATTCAATTTAAAACACACATTCAGCAAGAATGAAATGGATACCAATGCCCCAATGCATAGTTAGACTTCTTCAAAACTTCTTGGTGGATTCTGCTTCAAAGATTTCTCACTTTTCTTCATGCTTTGCTTTAAAGCAGTGGTTCTCAACCTGTGGGTCGGGACCCCATTTGGGGTCGAACGACCATTTCACAGGGTCGCCAAACAACGCAGTCCGCCATTTTTTTCCCCTTTTCCTTAGCTGTGTTACTCCCTTTTATTCTATGGGCTTTTGAAAGCCAATAGAAGAGACTCTCTTGAATAGAGTCTAATTCTATTGGCTTTCAAAAGCCAATAGGAATTGTCCAGGCTGTCTCTGCCCTGCTGAGCCCGCCAAAAGTCCCCTTCTGCAAACGGTGCTGCACCAGTTGAGTAGTCCTCGACTTACGACCGGTTGAGTAGTCCTTGACTTACGACCGGTTGGGGGTCGCGGCATTAAAAAGGTTGAGAACCACTGCTTTAAAGCCATTCCTGAATGTACTTCCATGTGAACATTGTTTTGTACTTGTAAAGGAGAAGGTGGTCAAAATTGGAGGATACTGATTTTAATTCCAAAGGGACTGAGGCCAAGTTTCAAAATGAAATGAACTTGTTCATTTTGATGGGTGATTATTGCTAAGAAAAGGATAAGGAATGTGCAACCCTCAATTCATCTCTCTGAAATCTTTCATGCTAACAATCATGGTACATTTCAGTATTAGCTCCATGAAACATGGGTTGAGATGGCTCTATTTCTCTAATCTGGAGTGACTGTTGAAAATTACATCAGGAAACCAAGTCTTATTTACTTATACATTCTATACACTACCCCTGTTCTGGAGGCTCTGAGCAACTTACAATACTACGCAAAAATACAATTGCAATTAATCATTTTGATATGCCATCATTTGAGAGTAGAATGATCTTACTTGTCCCCAGTTGCCTTATGAACAGCCATATTTTTATGGCATTCCCCATTTTTGCAGATTTTACTGGATGAGCAGATTCAACTCAAGGATGGTGGTCACTGAAAAATCTAGGCTCTGACAGTTAAGGCTTTTGTCATGCCTCCCTTGGAGCCTGAATCTGCAGAGGAAAATGAGCTGGAATGGGATCCTATGGAGGTCGAGGGAGAGGTGTCTGTGGCTTCAGAGGAATGTGGGGAAGGCCAGCCAGAGGCAGGCCAGGGCCCTTCAGGAGTGGGATAGGAGGAACAGGAGAGACAGAGTTCAGGCGATGAGCAAGGCCACCCCCACTTGATCCTAGAGCATGGAGAATGGAGAGGAGGGAACAACGCAGGTAGGCTCAACTACTCGGGAGGAGATCGTTTTGTCCCTCTCCACAAGGCACACCTGGAGACTGAGATTTAAGAAGACGCTGTGGGGGGAGGCATTTGTCGGGAACAATGCTGATTCTTTGGAGTTTTTTGTGTGTTGTTGCTGATCACTTGTTCTGTGACTTCTGCTTGGAAACCCAGAAACTCTGACCATTAGACAGGCTGACAACGTTGCTTGGATGTTTAAAGAACTCGGACTGTATTTTGGCTTCCCTTCTGAGACTGCTCAGTCAAGCATGTATTCATACAGACTTGTTAGGTTTATGATGTGTCATTCTTTCTTATCTCCGTGGCCTTGAGTAAATTCCTCTCCTAATCAGACTGTATGTGAAATTACTTGCAGCCAGAGGTGTGTGTGTCTTCCTTTGTTTGGAGGCTTGCCAGAAACGTGGGAGCATTTGGGGAAAATTTGGAGCAATTAAAGGGCGGTTTGAATTGCCAGCTGACTGCATTGCCTCTGTGCTGTGCCTTGGGTCATCACAGCTTTATAGGTTATATATTATAACCAATTCCAGCAGCTAACTGGAAACCACTGCAGTTCCAGTAATAATGGTGCTATATGAACAAACTTTGACTACCCATAATTACCTAGACGGATGCATGTTGCACCAGCTGAAGTTTCTGAATGACCTTCAATTTAGAACATATTGCCATAATATAGCTGCAAGGTGACAAAGACATTGAGAGGCTGTGCTTTGGTCTTTTGGCAATTATGCTGCAGGATTCTACAAGGGACCATTTTCTCTCTCATATATTTAAAAATCTATATTGTACTTATTTGTTACATTTGAGCCAGATCTGGTTGTGCACAGTTGAGACTTATATCCTAATAAGTGGTAGGCTACATGATGGCAAATATAGTAAAGATGAATCCTTCTAAGACTGAGGTCTTGTGGATAGTTGAGTCATACCTGATCTGGAGAAAGAAATGTGGTGGCACAGAGGTTAGAAAATTTCTTGTAGCAAACTTTGGACTAGCATGGCAGCTGCCATTTGTTTTGAATAGAGATAGTCTTGCCTTAGTACCCCATGTATTCATAACTTCAAGATTATATTACTGTAAAGGGAACTAATGGTGGCTCCCATTAATAATTATCCAGAAATTGCAGCCAGCAAAAACATTATGGTTAAGTTACTTAGCAAAGGGCTTTTCGACCAGTGGTATGGTACCACCTGTGGTACATTGGCACCTGGCAGGTGGTACACAACCATCCTAGAAAAGTGGTAGCGGGGAAGGGGAATGAGCTGAACTGGTGGCAGCACCGCACAAGCCTGAGCGAGAGATGGCTGGAGCTGCAGGGCTGAGCGGAAGCGCCAGGATCAGTGCCAGGCTCCAGCTGGAGCTCGGCGCTGATCCTGGTGCTTCTGCTGAGCCCAGAAGCGCCGATCAGCTGGAATGTTGCAGCCTCTCCAGGGTCTTGTGATTTACATTCAGATGCTTGGCAACTGATTCATATTTATGACGGTCACAATGTCCCAGGGTCATGTGAATTGACCAAAACCTGGTGCAACCACCCAGCAGATGTGGGGAATAAAAACCAAACACCCCCACCCCATCCCCATTGCCAATCCTCAACAGAAATGCTCACAACAATGAAAACCTCGGACAGGAGGAAGAGCACAGCCGGGTGGGTAGGTAGGATCTTGCTCGGCTGTGGCTTGGGGGGCACTTTTTTCAGTGCCATTGTAACTTTGAACAGTCACTAAGCAAACTGTTGTAAGTTGAGGACTACCTTTATCACTTTTTTCCTTTTTGGGGGTCATCAAGTTTTTGACACCTTGCTAGGCGACTCGTGGTACTCGGATACTGCCATATCCTAAAAGTGGTACACAGTCACTAAGCAAACTGTGAAAAGTTGAGGACTACCTTTATCACTTTTTTCCTTTTTGGGGGTCTGTTGCTATCAAGTTTTTGACAAATTTGCAAGGAAGCTTCGTGGTACTCGGATACTGCCATATCCTAAAAGTGGTACAATTGGTGAAAAAATTGAAAAGCCCTGACTTAGCACGCTCTAAGTATTCTCTGAACGTATCCATTACTGTTGCTATCATCAATCCAAGAGAAATTCCCTCAATTTTGAAGCTTTCTGATGTGTGATTATATTTCTTCACTGGGCCATTTAAGATTCTGAGTTCCATCTATTCTGCAAGGAGCAAAAAAGAAATAGGAAAAAGGGAGCATATTAGAAATACTAGTGAAAACATCTGTGATATTGCCACGATCAACAGAATTCACCATTACTTTAGCAAAAGTTGGAATCTACAAACAAACCAGTTCAAAGAATTTTAATATCCATTTACAATAAATTGTAAAATAAAAGAATATATGAAGTACATACAGTATATTTACATACCTATATTTATTTCAAATACTTAAAACTTTTAAGTAAAATATGTTTCTATATCATTTGTGAAAAAATATGACTTTTTAAATGGTCTCAACCTGACTTCTCTATATTCTCAATTCCAATTTAAGTTTCTTTTTAAAAGGCAACAATTAAAGTTTAGTACACTCTAAGGTATCTTTATTCACTTCTTGGCTTATAAAAATGAAACAGTTCCTGGGAAACCTTTTTTTTTAATATAGTTCTTCAATTTTTATTGCAACCTGGGATGCTTACCAGGTCCCCTAATGGGAGGAAAAACACGTTCAAAATTGCATACATACACATACACACACCAATTTCACAAATCATTTTATCATTCTTGAAACAGAGGTATTAAAATATATATTAATTAAAATATATTACTTATAAGCTCTTAAAATTGTTTTTCAATCATATCAAATGTATTGCATGGGGGAGGGGGGGAAGAAAGAAGGAAACAAATATTCTCCCTGCCAAAATCTCTTAATTTACATAAATGGCTGTGTGTGGTTTCATTCCTGCAGTATACAATGTAGATAGAAGTCAGAGAAGTGTGTTTCAGTCATTCTAACATAGTGCCTTCTACCTTGGCAAACAAATCTATGTCTCTTCTCACCCATACACGCAGAGAAACACACATACACCACTTTAACTTAAACACCAGTTTCTAAAAATGAACCTTGGCAGAGATGAAGGTACTTCATGGCTGCGTCTCCGGCAATTCATGTGTGCTGCCAATCTGGCCCCTCCCTAATACCATGCCTCAAAGATGGGATCAGCATGGACTGTGAAATTTGGGTACCAGGTAATTTGCACAGTAGTGGAGCCTGCGTGCACTGTGGAAAATACTGTCCTAGCTTCTATTTTTCACTTTGGTGAAAAATCACTGAAAACATAGTAAAGACAGACTAAATGTTTCAATTCCATTCTTTACATTCTTGCAAAAGATTTCAGTTCCATCAGGCTCAAAATAAACACACATCATTGGTCTGTTAAAAGTAATACTGCAAGCAAGCAAAATGACCTACTCATAGAATATGAACAATGGGGGTCCTGTGGTTTGTACACAAAATATAACTGACAGAAAATGCAAACTGCCTGAGCACTTTTAATGGCTTCTAAAAGCTGCAGTACCTAATATCAGAAGATAAGGGATGAATAATATGTTGTGTTACACAGGCATGTGGGCTTTCCTTTCTGAAGTAAAGCTGTACATCTCCATGTTTGCCAAGGTGTTAGTTTAGGTGACTGTATGTTGAGTGATAGCTGATTCATTCCCACAATTCCTGCATGAATTGCATCATTAAATAATTTTTTTAAAATGCCATGTTCTGGGGCTTATAATCTGAGGATGAGATAAAAAGAACCAGTAACAGAGTCAACAGCCATCTGTAGTGCAATTTAATAGGCCAGCTGGAGATCGTGGCCTTCTAAGCTTATAATCACCTACTCAGAAATCCCACCTCAACTTCTTTCAAAATCAAGGGTGTTCCATCTTCTATTTTAACCTTGCGTGTATCAGTAGGGTTTATAGCTGAGTTCCATCCTTTCAGCTGCTAGAAGTGTTGTTCATATTCCTTACACTTTACCCAAGTACCCTTTCAAAAAACACATTTCAGTGCAAAGTTGCTTTGCATGAGCTTTCTATTGAAAGAAAGTGCTCAGTTTGGCTTTTTACTTGAATTTCCACGAGTACTCAGTATAAATTCTTCTGTGGTTCTAATTAAGAAAATACTTACCAATATTCCAAAAGCATCATCACAAATATCAGGAAAGGAAAGGGGAAAGGGAAGGAAAAGGGCTTTTACAAAAAGAAAATATCAGATGCTGCTATATCAGATATAGCATAGAAAATTCTACTCATTGACATTCCTGTTCATCTTAGAAAGGATTATGCAGAACTTTCCAGATTTATCCAATCTAGCATCTCCAAAAATAAGACTTCAATTATCCCCCACCAAGGCCAAGAATATAAATGTCCCATTCAATTATTGAACCCTTGGGGCTTTTGGATCTCAGGCCCCATCAGTTGCATTCATAAGGATGCAACCAAACATATATAGTGTTTCAGCTAAGAGAAATTTAACAATCATGTCATGAGTTGAGCCAAAAGAGCAGACTGGCTTATTTTATATCAGGCAGGCAGATCCATCCTGCACTAGCAACTGCATGGATGGAAACTGAAAGTAGATGCAACAACAGTTTAACTCTTATGTTAGACAAAAGGTAAGGCTTTCTCCTCCCATCGGCTGAATATTGCTTAGTTTGAGTGAGGTGGCTGAATCAGTTTAAATTTTTGTCAGCATTGCTATATTCCATTCATGAAGCTCTGCTAAACTAAGGGGAAGGTAATTATACAATCTGCTTTTCCATGCTCCTTTCTGCTAAACAATCATTAGCCATATGATAAGCCATGGAAGATGCTGAAAACGCTTTACACTGCAGTTATGTGAATCTCACTATGGGAAACCATTGGCCAGGAATTATAGTACTCCTTCAGAACTTTGGAGCATAGAGAAAAATCATGATTCTTAACTTTTTACACAGCCTTATATGCAATTATTAACTGCTAATTTGACCTTTTACAAATTTTCTACCAATCTTCTAGTCAGCCCCGTTTGTAATTTGTTATTAGTAAGAAGCTCTTAATCCAGCGGGCTGTCTCAGGGACCTCCTTATCCAAAATTCTTTTCTTCATTCATCAGATCAAAGGAGCTCCTTCTAAAGATGGGTCAGACAGGCTTTTTCTGTGGCAGCCCCCATCCTATTGAATGGGCTGCCTTTGGATATATGCTTGACTTTCTCATTCTTGGCATTTGGGGAATCTCCCAAGACCTTCCTTTTTAATTGGGCCATTGATGTTATTTCTGCTTAGTAAATGATTGTCATTGTTATGACAGTGTACTATAGAAGGTAACTTTTATGTCAGATTTTTTTTGGAACACAGTTCAAAGATTTTAGCATGGTATATAAATTATGTTAATAATTTAAAAATAAATTAACAACGATGCAGAAATCTAGACCTGTAAGCATGAAATGTGCTTCTGCATGTTTTATGGTAAAATGTCCCTGCTGAAGGATTCTGGAGAATCCAGGCACATGAATATTACTATAATCAGAATTCTGCCCCCTAAGAGAAAGGGGAAACAATTCTGAGGCACCATTGTGAAAGGGAGGGGACAAATATGCTATTAATTATTTTAATATATGACACAAGAATCATGGTTTGACCCCTCACTTGTGTTCTATAAAACTCAATGGGAACCAATAAACCCATTCTAGTTATAAAATTCCCCCTTTGATGTGTTATAGTGTAACTTTAAGATGTTGCTAAGAGGATGATCACAGAAAATGAATATTCATTACTTGAAAGATAGAATGACAATGGAATGAATAATTCAGTTGCAGTGGTTTTGGCTCTAAGTCAAGGCTTCAACAGAAATTGGATTAAAAAATTAGAAGGGATTGAATGCTATTGGGGTTGGAAGGCATGGGCTATTATTCCACTGATCCATCACAATAAAACTTTAGTGACACAGCAAATCGTAACTGAATTATGAAAAGGTAGCCGAAGTAATGTCATTATATTAAAAAAAACACTAGAAAATAAAATAAACACATGCACCTAACATTTCCTCCAGTTAATTATGAAAGTTTGCACTACAACGCATAATAATAAATAATTGCTGAGGAAGAATAAGCATGGTTTCTGCAGAGGAAAGTTCATTTTACTAATATTTTGAAGTGTTCAAAAGCATCCGCATCTGGGTAGCAGAGATCTTTTGTATATAAAAATAAAGGGCTGAAAAAGTCAACAATCACAAGTAAGATCTTGTTAGTGGATTAATATTCAATAAAATAGCAGGAAGTATAAACAAATTTGAGGAATTTGAATGAAGAAATTCCCCAGAGTTTGTACTTTTTAATATGTCCTTATATACTCTGCATTTGTTTCCCTGATTAGTTATGGCTGAAGAGTAAATTACTCAAGTTTTTAGGTAATATCAGAAAATTCAGGAGATAAAAAATGCAGCTGTAATGAGCTAAAAAATGGCTGGAGGGCATAAAGCAAAAATAATGATTAAAAATTCCCTTCTGTAACAGTTAGAATCTGATAAGATCTAAGTGGAAAAATTGACCTAAGGTCATCCTGATAGCTTAATGAAAATGAAAAAACTGTACATTAATTATGAAGAGAAGCTAATTTCATATTAGGAAAAGGTCTGAAATGAAGGGTAGGTCCATGATAATTTAATATGCCCTCATTTGGATGTTTTGGATGCCAGGGAAAGATGCCAAATAGACAGCCAACGAACCAAAAGGCTACAGTTTTCCCCTTGCCACTGAAATCTTAAAAATATGGATTGTTTAACTAGAAGAAGAAATAGCTAAAGAATGAGGGGATTCTGATACCAGTTTATACATTTATGAACTATTGAATAAAAGGAGTAAAGAAAAGTATAAGCACAAGAAATTCATGCCATCTAACTTATTTACTTTAATTCTTAAAGTAAAGATGTGTCTTGTGTAATTGAATTTACCTAAATTTTGTTTTCTTCCTGGTTCTTATTAACTCTATTAAAAATTATGTTTCCTGTGGATGTTGACCACTCTTTTACTATGTAAAGCACAATACACACTGATGTGTTTTTACCTATGTGTAAAAGAACGATACACACTGATACAATAAACATTGTAGATGTAAAACATGCAAAAAAATATATGGCTAACTTATAGAACTGACCAATACAAAATGTGATACTGCCTTTGATACCTTCTTCAAGGTATAATACAAATTTAGGGAAGATAATAGGCTTACCCAAGAGGTGCTGTTTTGGGGGCACACGCAACTTGAAAGAGAAGTGACTTCTATACTCTGTCAATAGGCTGCCAGGAAATATCTGGCAGACCATTATTAAAAACAGACGGCCAGATCACAATTTAAAATCAAAAGTGATCCAATTCCTGTAGCATTGATTATAATGTGGTATTTCCATGATGAGTAATAAAAATGGGTGATGCTTCTTGAAATGGGTAATGGAGTCCTTGGCTTTCTTCCAAGCAATTCTCTCTTTTTTTACTCCCACCTTTATTATTTCTGTAAATAACTCAAGCAGGGAACGTATCTAAAACTCCCTATTTTCCCCACAACAACCCCCTGAGGTAAATTGGGCTGAGTGTGTGTGACTGGCCCTTGGCCACCCTGCTGGCTTGCATGACTATGATGGGACTAGCACTGATTTCCTGATTACTAGTCAGGTGCCTTAACACATTTTTTAAAAGGTTAATGGTGAAACTGTCTCAAGCCATAAACATCAATATTGGCTTTTATCTAGAATGAAACATGGAAACTGGAAATTATATGGTTCAACTTGCATGGAGAGGGTGTGCCTTGGCTAAACTATCTTTTCCTATTTTTATCTATCAAAAGGAAAATATTTTACCTAACTTACCTTCTAAAGCTTGTTCTTCTCTTCATTTATTCTGACTTGACAGCTTTTCCGATTACTTAATGGGTAGTACTTTATCTAAAAGCCTGCACATTAATTGGGGACTGGAGCCTAAATTGCCATGTACAATTTTGTAGTTATATGCAACCAAACTACAATGGAGCTATTAAACACAGCTGCGGAGACTTTAAGTATCTCTAACTCAGTTTAAATCAGCCTCACAAAAAATAGAATCTGGAGCTGGAAAAAATTATGCTGGTTTCATCAAACCTCCATAATTTAGTCTTTTCCTAGTAGAGTTAAGAATAGGAGACATAGAAAATCCTGCCATGCTTTGAGAGCTATCTTGGCACAACCCTGACAAGGGGAATAAAGAGCAAAATACAGCTTTGTATATTCTACAAACCAAGAATAGGGAGCCTGATTACTGCCTAATCTTAAAAGCACTTTATCAACAATTAGTTTGAGTCTCTGGCAATAGAAATGAATATGGGGAGGGGAGGGCAAGGGGATGGCAAACAAAATAAGGTGTCAGAAAGTGTAGAACTAATTTTGTATGGCTCAGGTTTCATCCTAAAAGCTTAAGTTCCATCCATCAATTGAAATGGCATCCTGCAAATTACTTCCAAGGAAATGCCCTTCCTTCTACAAGTGAAATCCAGGTCAAGAAACTCCATTTTATTTTAAATATGGTGATTCTGAGCAGGATCAATTCCTCCTCTAAATATAATGCTCCACACCTTTAGAGTGCAATTGCAGAATGCACACAAGGGAATAACATCCTCCCACTACCTTTTCCAGCTTGAAATTTTCAATTATTTGAGTCAGAGATGATTCCAGAAGCTGACAAACTGACCCAAAATTATGGCTTGATGTTAAAAAATCTGAAACGTTTCTTCTGCCCTATTCTACAGCATTTATCTCATCATTTTTTTTTCTTGAAAAATGAGAATCTAGAGCCTGGGACCAAAAGAGTTTGTGCTGCTGCATCTTGATTGAAATTCAAAGGCCAGAGCACACACATTCATATCAGGAAATGGAAATCATCACTGCTGCCATTGGTTAATTTAGAATTATAAACTATCCCCACCAAGCCCCATTCTGCCCTGAAAATTCTGATGATCTGCAATACGCTGCCTCTTCTCGAGGTGATTTTATACAATAAAGAAGAATTGTTTACTGTAAACAGCAACACTACAAAATTCAACTGGGTGGTAGGCTATCTGCCCACCTTTTGATGTTCCTGTTGCTTAGGGCTGCTGATGTAATAGTCACAATCACTGTGTTTCACTAGGACATTTGGCAAGTCAAAGAAAAACATGGAGGCCACGATGGTAGCAAGGTGGAGGCAAATCAGGAGCCCTATGGGACACAGACACATTGATGGTGAAGAGGGACCTACTGGGCCAGAATCCTGCTATACTATAGGACAAGAGGCAAAATGAGCATGAGGTTCTCATCCATAGATTTATCTCAAGGTTGGAAAAAATAATTTTTAAGACAAAACAATGCAACATATTTACATGATTCCTTAAGTGCACACACTTGTCCCACTGGGTTCAGCCATTCATCCAAGGTGCTTTCTTCATTCTCAAGGAAACAAAGTAGATGTGGAGTGGGATAGGGTAGGGACTCTTGACTCAGCAGCATGCCCCTCCTGCTCCCTAGACAAGATGCCATCTAGCAAAACTGCTACCGCACAACAAGACAGGAAACACAGAGTTTGGAGGGGCCAATACAGTCATCATGGCAGAAGGCCCCGCAGCCTTTGCACACAATCATGGCTTTCAAGCGACAGTAGCACTTTGAGGGCAAGTCCTCCAAGCCACCATCTTCTGCAAAAGCCTGGCCACGGAGAGATTGTCCATGGCTACCAGTATTTGCTGACTGGCTAGCAGGGATAGTTGTTACAGTTACAGAGAAGGACACTACATCCCCCATGCGGCTGGGGTCCGATAGTCCAGTCAGGAGAGTATCTTGATGCATGTCTGGAGAAGTGGAAACATTGATCGTGCCACTGTAGCCTGGTCCAACAAGTTGTGCAGGAGTAGGGTTTCCAAAGAGCTGAGGAGAGGGTGAGGGTGAAAGCAGCAGGGGCCGCTGTAGAATAACATTTGCTGGAGCACAAGTCTGAAGTTCCCTACTGCAAGGTCTCATTTCTCCTCTAGTTGTCTGGGCCACTTTTTCCTGGGCTGCTTGAATAAAATCTTTTGCCGATTTGCTTTCAGCATAGTTTTGACCTGCTGGGAAAAAGCAAATGCTTCCGTCCTTGTGGCTTATTGCTGCCTGCTCCAGTTTTACATTTGAACTTGCCTGCCTTCCTCCTCCTCTTCCTGGAGCCAGAGATTCCTTTTTAATCTTGAGATGTGCTGTTTCATGTTCAGTCACATTGCCATCTCTGTCTCCTTCATTTTCACCACCACTATTATTACTGTCATCTCTAGATGTATGCTTCTGTTCCTCTAATTTCATCAGGGGCTTGTCTGAGCATTGCTGGCTCTCTGGGGGTAGGGCAAGGTTTCTTCTTAGGTTCTCTGGGCAGCGCCCATAGGTAGAAACATTCAGGAGGTAATGGCCAGACATGGCAGGCTTGAATGTCCTTCTCCCTATGAATCCCAGGGTGAAACTTTGGCTGGTGGAGCTGCTCTCTACTGGGAAGTGTGGGGGGAGGAGGGGGAGACGTGGAGGGGGAGAAGGAGCAGCAGGGAGGCTCTGCACAGGGACTTTCTGCATGACAGTCTGGAGAATATGTTCTTGGGCATTCTTGCCTGAAATTTCCTGGCTACTGCTCTGGACTGTAGGTTTGCTCCACAACTCCTGCCCTGATAAAGAGGATAAGGATGAAGGATCTTGGGACTGTCCACAGTGACTAAGGTTTGGCTTCCTACCTGCTGGGAAAGTGACGTGCAGCTGTCCTTCCCCTTCCCTTGGAGGGCCAGGCCTGGAAACAATTGTGGTTGCTTTGCCTTCCTTCACAGGCAGTGCAACAGTCTTAATCTCACCTCTTGTCAGAGGCTTTGGGAGGATCTGCTCCATTGGGACTTCTTTACCTTGCAGCAGCTGAGTCACCAGAGGATTATTAGCAGGTATACTGGAGCTGGCCTTTACTGCAGAGGTAATTCCACTTGAACCTGAGGAGCCTGGGGGGACTTTAGGGCTGCGGGCTATCAACAAAGTGTTATGGGAAGGAGAAGGTAAGGGGGACATGGGCACAGTGCCAGGTGAAGAAAGAGGAGGGGGTGCCCTGAAGGGTCCAGCCGACACAAGAGATACAGAAAGCAAGGTATTGGCTTTGTCGTCTGAAACACCTGTGCTGGCAGTAGAAGCTGTTTTTAATATATTTTTGCAGTTCACTCCAGTCTCAAATCCACAGGATGTTCTTGTGACCTGGTTAAGTGCAAGAGGGTTATTTCTAAGTTTCTCCCTCATGGAAGCAAGATCAGTTGTTGAGCCCAAAGAAGCTGTGACATCCTGAGTGACAGGCACAGTCAAAAGGCTGGGATTTGTACAGTTGACATTCCCTATTGCTGGTTGCGAGATTGACCCGCTCTCCATCTCTGGGTTGCTGCTTGCAGTTCTGGATTGTGCTGAGGGAGCCGGCTGTAGTTGTGTTCTAGCAGCACTGCTTGTAGCTGCTGGTTTTGGAGCTGGGGAATCTGCTGGGGAGAAAGGGGCTGGGCAAGAGGGAAAAAAACTTTTTGGACTTGTCCTGCTTCCAGAGCCTGCCGTGTCCAATGTAGCTCCGAGAGACCTCCCTGAGAGTGGACTGCTCTTGTCCTCTCCTTTCCCCCCTCCTGGCCCCGGCCCCGGGATGGCTTCCATAATGGAGGCAGCAGAAGCAGCACTGGAGGCTGCTGTGGCTGCTTCGGCTGCAGCAGCTGCTCGCTGGGCCCTGGCCATTCTAGCCCTGGCTTTGACGTCGGCCAAAGTTCTGGCCCCTGTTCTTCTGATGATTGGGAAGGGGGGCCTGGGAGAGACCTGGCTAGCAGACAGTAATGCTGGAGATCCTTGGATTCTGGAGACGTGGATCTGGAAGAGAGGAAAGTGCATCAATAAACTGCAAGGTAAAGCACCTCTCACTCATGTTTCTTATCTTGGAACAAAACAAGAGACTCAAGAGAAAATGAGTCTCATGAGTGTCAGTTCCAAGGAAAACACTCACCATCTTGTTGGAAGACAGATCAAGTTGAATACATTGAACTCTCTTATGCCCATCTATTCTTTCAAGAGGCTGCTAAAATGAATAAGTACCTTCTGAAAAAAAGGAGCTGCAGTAGCCAAAAATTTAGACTACTAATTCATCAACCTTAGAGCTGATAACTTCCCAGTATTTATTTTGTTTGATTGTTCATTCACCCACCCACCCATCCATTCATTCATCCATCCATTGTGTATGAAAAAAATTACACAGAGAATCCCTGAAATAAATGAAGCAACTCAAATGGCTTGGCTTAAAAACAAGGTCTTTCCTCTTCATCCATGGGATCCCTCTTAAAGTGAGATTATCAGTGGTGAAAGTTAAGATGTCATTCAAACACTCTTGTGCTGAATCTCCCTGATCAGAATTGATCAAACTGAGCTCATCCCACTCTCATTTGCTTGCAAACATTCAGCCAGGTAGCAATCTGCAGCGACAGGTGTTCTTTCGCTTTCAAATTAGAAATGAAGAACAATTGTCACAGGGATTGTGACAAAGGAACTTATTAGCTTGCAGAAGTCAATACAGAATGAGCTTAACACATATGGTTCCTTTACCCTGAGCGGAGGGACTTTTGGTGTGGGCGCGATGGGAAAGCGCTGCAGTGGGCCCTGAAAAGGCAGCCTGGTGGGGCACTTTTCTGTCACATGGAGCTGTTTTTCGGGTGTCATCAGTGCCTCTTCAGGAATCTCTGATTTTCTCTTGAAAGCCCGGCTTCCAGTATCCATTTGTTCTGTGCAAGCGGCAGGAGTCTCCTTTGCAGAAATCTCCTGAGATTCTACTTCTGGGCTTGGTATAGTGCCAGCAATGGCTGCATTCTTTGGTTTGCTTGGAATTTGTCTCACCAGGGACTTCAGAAAAGCAGGCTGTGGTGTCATCTCTTTTAATTCCTCAACTCTGTTGGAAAGCTTCTCAGGAATCTGGCTGCTACTCTGGAAGGAGGCACCGTTGTCAGAAGAATTTACAAGCTCTTCTGGCTTAAAGATCTTGGGCTGCTCAATTTCCTCTCCTTTAGAGGCTGCTGTTATAGCTGGGAGAACCTGAACCTTTGGACCCACCAGAGAATTGGTCTGTTCTTTGTCAGGTACTGTTTTATGGACTACTATGCATTTCTGTAACTGAGGTGCTAGATTCCCAGCCTGTGCTTGATTCTGAACAGTAGGAATATAAGATGTCAATTGCTTGGACTCTTCAAGGCTTAAGCCGGAACTAGAAGACAGAAAGAGAAAGCAGAGACATTGGTAAGATATAAGGCAATTCTTCCCTGATCATTAAGCAGAGAGTGTCATTCAATAAAGAAATCTTTTGTTAGTGCCAACTTTTCACAGGGAAGCAACAAGTATTAAAGCCTGTCAGAATAGTAATAGGTTGGTTCTTGTTATATATACTGCTCACAAAAATAAAGTGAACACAAAAAGAAGACATCCTATAAGTTTGTGTTCCCTTTATTTTTGTGAGCAGTATATGTACCTAGGTCAAATAAATACCTAGTAGGTACATTTACAGCTTGATTTATGTTAATCTTTGCTAGTTTTTTGTGAGTTAATATGTTATTTGAATGACTTATGCAGGGAATGGGTTAAAGGAATGGGTTAAAGCAGTGGTTCTCAACCTGTGGGTTGCAACCCCTTAGGGGTCATCTAAGACCATCGGAAAACACATAATTACATATAATGCTTTAATTATGTTCAATTTGTAACAATGAAAATACATCCTGCATATCAGATATTTACATTACGATTCATAACAGTAGCAAAATTACAGTTATGACGTAGCAACGAAAATAATTTTATGGTTGGGGGTCACCACAACATGAGGAACTGTATTAAAGGGTCGCGGCATTAGGAAGGTTGAGAACCACTGGGTTAAAGCAATAGCTAGATTAGGAATGAATAGATACAGAGTGATAGAAGAAGAGAATGAAGCATAATGGAAAATCTCAAGTGACTGTCAAAGGAAAGGATCTTTTTCTTCATTATGAAAAAGCAGTAACTGAGGAGGACCAAAGCTGACATAGTAGATTAAAGGAGAAGAGACTAATCAGGGCCTTAAGGCAGGCAGTGGAGACCTCTTCCTTTAAAACTGCTGTAAGCTCCTTCTTCCCTCCCTCTGAAGTTGAAATGGCAGGAGGTGCTCCTATCCTGAGAGCCATATACCTTATAAAAAACAACACAGCAGAGATTTGCACTGCACTAGCCAACAGACCATTCTTTGAACAGAGAAGTTCTAGCTTTAGTATCTTATCAGCGATGGACATTCTACTCAAGAGACTACTCTTTCAACCCTCAACTGAAATATTAGACACCTTTCCAAAATTATTTAAAATATTTCTGGAATCAAATATTTAAAGTGCTTTGACTATTTGGATAATTCATTTCTGAATGGTGCAATACAAAGTAAAGCATTCCTCCAAAGCAGCCTCGAAGCAGTTGTATAGTTCAGAGACCAGGTCCACATACCATCAGCTCAAAAATCTCAGAAAGAAAAGAAAAAGGTATTTTGATCAGGTAAGGCAGGTTAAATCCTTACCTCTGACCATAATAGTTCTCAAAGAAGTGTTCTTTCCAAAGTTCCACTTTCTTCTCCTTTTCTAGTTCCTGCCGTAGTCTTAGCTGCATCTCTGGAGTGAACTCCCCTGCCACACACACAGAGCGGAAAAAAAGAAGTTAGCAAGATACAGAAATGTCTGCCTTTTCAAACTCAATTGCTGCCCTGATTTTCCAGAACATAAATATCACCAATCTTTTCAAAAGGTTCTTTTCTATTCATACCTTAGAAATAGCAACGGAGGTTATTTTTATTTCATTTATTGCTCTGGTCTCATGCTTCTTTGCACAAGTAATTCTTTCAATAAAAATCCGTTCATTCTCACCAACCTCTCTGAAACACCCTCAGAAACCTAGAGACCTGCCTCTGGATGTCCTCACCTTCTGACAGTCGCTCCTTCCATCCTTGCGCAGCAGAATTAAAGAATTCATTGTTGAGGGCAGAACTGCTAAGCTTCATCAAGCCATCCATTCCGATCTGAAAGACAAATGGGGTAGGATGAATAACAATATGCTGCCAAGTACTCAACTTTCCTCAGGAATTCATAAAATCAGGCAGATAAAGCTATGGGTTAATCCTAGAGTGGCCTAAAAGAAGGAACTCCTTGCACTTTATCTTTCTAGGGCAGTGCTTCTCAAATAGTGGGGCGCGCCCCCCCAGGGGGGGTGCGAGGCTCCGTAAAGGGGGGCTCGTTCGACCTCGGCAAATACTGTCATATTGGATTTCTAGATCGGATCATCCGACTCACTCGCAAGCGGCGTCCCACACAGCATTGGTTGCCTAGCAATTCTAGAGCTGAAGAGAGGGAGCAGCGCGGCGCGAACACTGAAGATTGTCCCAGCGCAGCCCCAGTAGCAGCCCGACGTGGAGGACAACATGACCGCCAACGCACATGACACATGCAAAGGACCCGATTGGATAGACATGATGCTCTATCCTGATTGGCCAAACCCGCCCGTGTGACTTTTAGACCCGGAAATCGGTCCTCTGTACAGAAAAATTTTTTTTAACAGGGATGAGAAGACAGGCGGAGAGAGAAGGAGATAAAAGAAAGTCTTCCGAAGGCTAAGACGAGGAAATAGGAAATATATTTTATATATTTTTGTTTTGCAGGTTAAAGTTTTTTTTTTATCATTGTGCTCCTTTAAATCTTTTCTGCTACAGTTAATAAAGCTATTTTTTGTTGTAAATTGATCCACATTTCTTTCTTTTTTTATTCTCATATACGTTAATAAGGATACAGTGTTATGCAGAGGTGTATTTATAACAATTTTATAGACAAATGATACTATTTACAGTCGCGCGGGGGGCGCGAAATGTTTTCTTCTTCCTAGGGGGGCATGACAGAAAATAATTGAGAAGCACTGTTCTAGGGTAAGATGGTCTCTGACAGGCCACTTTTAGCCTCTTCTGCCTTATAAATGATTTGAGAATGATTGTTCATTTGTGCAGAGACTTTGGGAACTGGGAAAAAAATGAGAATAAGAGCACAGTACAACAGTGTTTGTGCATATTGCATACATATAAAAAATACAATATATATGAAAGCATGCCCCCATCTGTCATAAGGGCATCAGGCATTCCCCATGAAGGCCTGGATATCCTATTAAAATATTTGGAGATGTATATACATAGCTATGGGAATAACTGAATTGGCAAGCCTCTCAAAGTGGATTTGCACTTCTTTGCACTAAATGTCACAATCAAACCACAGTAAAAGTATTGAAGGTTAAGACTTTTCTCATTAAAAATGCCAATATTAGAGCACCAGGAGCCTAAAAGAAGATTATTTCCTTTTGCAGAGCTCTAAACTACCACAGGGAGCCAATAGAGAGTCAATTCTTGCTGTTACAAGATTATTTTAATTCTGGGCCAGAATTAAGCAGAAAACAAGATGAGTTTCACAAACTGAACACCCATTTGCTAACACAGAAGACCATTTTATTGAGTATTGGGAACACTGGGCCCTTACAGCCCAAGTTCTGCACAATAGCTCTGTTATATAAAACTGTAGGGAAAAGTTGACCCCTGACTTGTTTCCTCCCCTCCTCCATGGGCACACACCTGCCTGTCCACCTCTGGCAGTAGCAGGAGCAGCTTCTGCTGACATTCAATTGGTAGTCCCATGAATGTATGCTTGTTGATTAGAGCTCGCAGATTGGTGTTCACCAAGATGGATTCTGGGGTTTCTACATCGATTTCAGCACATTTTGTCCTCTTCAGCTGCCCTAATAAAAGAGAAAACAAAGATCATTATTAGAAAGAAGAGCTCTACCCATTTTGCTTCTGCTTCTCACAAAGAATGGGAAAGTCCCTATCCAGGACTGATACTTCAGTCTGGAAATCCACTCCACTTGACAAATCTTCTTAAATATGTTAATGTTATAGGACAACTCTTCCTCTACTACACAGAAAGAATGTTAAAGGAAATAAGATGGGTGGCAGCTCTCAAAGTCCACAACTACTGTAAGTCAGTGAAATCTCCAGGGATGCTAGAACTCTACCTTATTGAAGTGTTGCTTATGTGTAATTTCTAAAAATTGCTTCTGTGCAGTGCATTTCAGATATACCACTCATAATCCTTCACCAGAAAAGGTATAAGGAATATGAGTACAAAATATTTGAGCTTGGAATACTTTCTGTGAGCTAGAAAATCTCATCCTGAAAATAGAAATAGAAAATAGAAAAAGGAGAACTTCAAACACAAAGCATTTCGATTTTCCAACATTCTTTACTATTCTATTTGTACTTAGTTGCCTTGAATACTTCTTACTAGAAAGAAAGCTGGCATATAAGCTTAATAAACCTTAGTCTAATCCAACTTCATTAAATACTTCGTATATGACACATATTTAAAAAGTACTGACTGCTTTTAGCTTCATCCAGATTATATGGTAAAATTCACTGGTTTTAAACAAGCTATACAGCAATGTTATCTCAAACAGAGACTCACATGAGATAAACTGAATGAAGTGAAAACTCAGCTGTTCATTTAGCAGCTGCTCTTCTAGCGGGAAATAGAAAGCTAAGAAAACCCCACATATACAGACAGAAAGGCTTTTTTTCTAAACTTGTCCAATCCATTTTTGGTTTTTTGGGAATAATCAAAGCATTAAAAATTTAAAAATGAATAATGAAATACATTTTCAAATGTATTTATTTGTTTTATTATTTTATTCAAAATAACAATAAAAGTAAAATATTTCTAAATTTCACATCCTAATAAAGTGTCAGGCAATATTTTTTTTAAAAGAAAGCTGTTGTCTTACTTGCATGGAGCCTCTCAGATCTCTGGAATGGTTTCTTCCCAAGGATTGGCAAGGAAGGCTCAATTTTAACAGAGGGAGAAGAACTAGAAGTAGAATTCTGTGGGCTACTTGAATGTCCATCTGACTGTTTTCCTTCCCAAGCTGCAAAGAAAAGAATAATTAAACTTAATTGTTTTAACTGAATGTAACACTATCTAGCTTTAATAGTTCAGCAGCAAATTTAATGTTTTCTTTTGTAATTTTTGGAAACTTTAAGATTTCTATTGGTTATCTATACGAAATATGAATTGCAGCACAATGCAAAACCACAACAAATAAAAAGGACCAGAGGCAGATAACAAATTATTTGTGGTTTCTGTGTGCATGTGCTATAATAGTAAAAATTGAATTGGAAGTTTCCGTGAAGTATCTGCTTGAAAAGAAGCAGTCTGAGAAGCTGTTCAGTTAGCTATTCTGCACTGGCTTCTATATATAGCACATAGTTAAACAAGATAACTCAGTAACTTACAAAGTGCTGCTGATGCCTATACAGAGATTAACTTTAAAAATGTAATATTGTCAATAGTAAAATGTAATATTATCAATTATCAATATATATTAGCCATTGTGTAAACTTAATATGGAAACTAGATGGCCTAGAACAGGGGTTCTCAACCTTGGCAACTTTAAGACTTTTGGACTTCAACTCCCAGAATTCCTCAGCCAGCAAAGCTGACTGAGGAATTCTGGGAATTGAAGTCCACAAGTCTTAAAGTTGCCAAGGCTGAGAACCCCTGGCCTAGAAGAAGGGAAGGAGAGTTTCCTTCAAAAAGAATTAACTACTGACTTATTTCTCAAGTCTTCTGATGACAGTAGGCTAATTAAATATAAATCTATCTTGCTGTCATCAGAGGTCAAGGGTGATGAGCTGATTTTTGAGGAAAACAATTAGCAGTATTGTGAGGAGAAGGTGTGTCTGAAAAGGGCTCATACCGGCTTTTGCAGGAGCAGAATGGTTAGGAACCTTCACATGCTGCTGTAGGAGGTGGTGATTAGTTGATACAGGCACACTGGTTCGGCAATGATGCTGTTTCCGTTGCTTTTGCTTCAAGGCCTAATAAGAAAGTGAAATGTATACAGGAGTTTCTTAAGCTGAAAAATCTATACAGTAGTACAGAATTCCTTGTTCAGGAAAGCCTGCAGAGATGTAGAAATGGCTGGCTGACAGAACTACTGTTCTGTTACCATTTATTACATATTGCCCTTTACTGAAGATGGATTTTGGATCACCTACTGATTTCTTTTTATATAACAAATGAGACAGAAGACTGCAAAATAACATAATTTTCCTATTACCAGATTTGCAGACAAGATATTTTATCTTGTATCAAAGACATTCCCAAATTAATGCTTATGTTAAATATTTAGAAATGGGAAAATTTTCCTCCTTTGATACTTGGCAAAATATTTTGTCTTACAATGTTGCAAGATTAAAGGATAATCTGATTTCATTAATGATTAATGAGCACTAGCGAAATAATTTCCCAGTATCCAGATAATATCCAAGGCATTATCATAATTACAAAGAAGACCTTACTCAAAACATAGCTATCTTCTACAAAGTATGAACAAATCTGACCCATACAGACAGAGCAATTGCTCCAGGGGAATGTAAGGAAATAATATAATTTACATTATATTATATATAGGCCCTGCAACAAATACAATTCATAATTATGATTGAGAATGATCCATCACTAGAGGTTTTTAAGAAGAGATTGGGCAGCACTTTGTCTAAAATGATATAGTGTCTCCTCTAAGATCCCTTCTAACTCTGTTACTTTGTATTCTATTCTGTAGCTAGAGATAAGAAAGAAAATATAGCTTGGTATCTAAAATAAAAAGAAAAGAATTGCATTGACAGAATGAGATATCCTCCTAAAAAAAAAACCAACTGCTTGCATATTTCTGCAAAGCACTAAATAAAGGAAGTGAAAGGAAGTCTAAGAAATCACAGTCAAAACAGAAAACATCTCAAGAGAAAAATCCAAACAAATTTCAAAAGCTACGAAAAACATTCAGCATATAAAATGAGAAAATGTAATTTTCTTCAAAATTATATTGGAAATCTGATTATCTTAAGGAAACAATTACTGTGAAAGAAATGAGAAATGGGGAAAAAAACAGACCAATATGAAGAAAATGCTAGGTCATTTTGAGTCAGAACAAACACAGTCCCAGTGGAAAACCACCTATCTGAAAGGAAAAACATACCAAGCTGATTCATGAGACAAAAAGTAAACAAGGCAACTGAAATTAAGCAATAAATAAACCAAGGACAATTATAATTTATTTTTATTTTGGAAAAATATGAGAGCCAAGGATAAAGCAATAATTATTACTTCACAACTGTTCTGCAACTGAATGAAACACTTATTAGCTAACTCAGTAGGCTCAAGTTATCTGGCTAATAGCTAGAGCCTACTGCTGCAAAGAAATCTAGCATCCTGGTGGTTGTCATTTCCACAAAAAGTGATTTATAATTTTATGAAAAAATCCTAAGAAAAATTGCCTGTTCTTCCATGGCTTCAGTTTGAATAGAAGCTTTGTTTTATTACATATATTCTAGTTAACTTTTATCCTTGTATCCATATGCTCAATTATGTAGAATTTTTAGGAGAATGTAAATTGGAGCAAGGCATAGAGCCAATTTAACACAAAATTAGGTTAGGTTTTTAGTTCCAAGTAACATGCAGATAAGCACAAATTAAAGGTCAGATAAACAAATCACTATGCTCTCCCACTTACTTGTTTAAGTGCCTTTTTGCTGTGCTTCTGAGATGAAGAGATGATTTTACCTGGTGGGATAGAAGGAGATGGGCAGCCTGACTGTGGGGAGGACACTTGTGAAAGTCTGGCCGATACTGAAGAAGCAAGAACAGAAGATGACAAGATGATAAACAAGCATGCCACAAATAAAACCATTTGTTGCAAACATGGAAAACCAGATATCTGGAAATGTAATGCTGGAGCTCTGGAATAAACTCTGAGTATCCGAGAGTCATACGTCATACTTCTTGACTGCTCACTCAAAAAAAATCATTGATAAGGACCCCGAGGAGACCCTTTCTGTAAGTGGCCAGAATGTCCTCTTAAAGGGCATCATTTAATGGAAAATGTCACAGGGCCGATTTCATCAAGAATGGCAACCGGTGCTCAGGCGCTTAAAGGTTTGAGGAAGAGAGAAAACAGAGGCAGGGCCATGCCAAGTACACTAGTGGGAATGGAAATATCTGTGCTTTTTACTGGGTTTGTCTTTTAAACTTATCTTAATTTTATTTTAGGAATTATATTTACTCAAAATTGGACTATAGGAGCCACAATATGGTTTCCTGATGTTTTGCAGATTCACTAAACTTTATCTCATAAATGTCAAAAATGGGGGGGGGGGTTATTAGAGGTTTTAGGACAGAAAAAGCAGCTTCCCAGAGTCAAATCACTTCCATCCTCGCCCTTCAAATCTCCCCAAACTCATCCCTAAAATCTGACCACTGTAATTTGATCTCAGGGTGCCACAAAGAATTGACACTGCCCATTCAGTGTTCAAGAAAATTTCTGTGAGTGTTACATGGGACATGGACGAGGAATAGGTCTATTCCATGGGTAGGGAACCTTGGCTCTTTTATGACTTGTGGACTTCCAGAATTCCTGAGCCAGTCCACGAATCATAAAAGAGCCAAGGTTGCCTACCCATAGTCTATTCAATAGCAGTCTCCTTTCTTTGAAACACTCTGCCACCAGAGGTATGGATGGCCCCTACTATAAAGCAGTGATGATTCACCAGACGTTTGGTCTTCAAACCAATTCCAGTCATGGAGCATCTATGAGATTTTCCCTTAGGGTATTAAGGTTTTTAACAATGTAAATGCTGTACACTTCTTTTTTCCTTTATGTGTATGCTTTTTTTGTATCCAGCCTAGAGTTTTGAAAGCTGTAAGTATCATTCATAATTAAACAAACGTAAGCAATAAAGTCCATATTTTCTTTATGACAAATAATTGGCCTATTACTGTAAAGGAGTCCAATGAACCAAGAGCAAGAAGAGACTAGAAATGATTTGAAAATAAGATGTTGTACGATCCATGATTTTAAATCATTTTATATATAATTTCCATTCCATTCCAAGAAGTCCAGTAGAATAATATTCCCCTATCACCCATAAGACTATAAGAAGGCAGAACTAATGTTCTGAAATTGTTTATTAGTTACTGGCATTTGAACAGTAGACTGGCTAGTCACAGAGCCACATGGCCTTAGTCCCCATGACACTGAATTAGTTATTTATTACAAAGGTTTCTATGCTGCTGCAATCTATTTTTTTATCAAAACAATTTTTATTAGTTTTCCATTTTACACCAACACAGCTTAAGAATCCACATGGAAACATGGTGATCCATTTTTTTAAAAAACAAGCAATAACATAATACATATATACCCAGTATTTCTTAAAAATTTCCCTCTCTATTTAGAATATTATAATCAAATTAATACATTTTCAAATGAATTCATTCATTACTATATCTAACCATTAACTACATTAATCAATAAAAATTTTAATCTATAAAACTACATTTCTTAAGAACATTATAATCAAGTCAATATCTTTCTAAAACCAATTCATTCACTAATATAACATTTCATCCAAATTATATAATTAAAAATAAACTAACATTTTCTGTCTATTTATGTTATTATAGGCTTATTAAAACATTTCTAAAACAAATTTTCATTGAATATGTCACTCTATATGAATTTCATTAATCAATAAAAGTTTACAAACTCATTTTCCATCCCAAAAATCCTGTATTATGCTTTCTTAATTTTACAAATATTTAATCTTAAACTAACATATTCATTTACTATTCAGGTGCCCCAATTGTTTTTTTTAAGCATTATTAACTCCAAAAATAAATTCTTCTCTTTCTCATCAATCTTCTGTTGTTTTTCACTATGTCTCTAAATCTCCAATAATTAATTCCATCATTTCACATATTTCAGTTCTTTTCTCATTATACCATCTCTAGTAATAAAAACATATGAAGCCCTTTTAACAAAATCCAAGTCCAACTCAATCCAAATCGCTGTAAGACCTTTACCACATTATTATAATCAGATTTAATATTTGTATCTTATTCTGGGTTTCTTTCTAGTCCAAACAGGTTTCCATAATTGGGCCTCCGTCTGCCACACTATACACTCCAAAAAGAAAGCTCCCCTTATACATTTTGTTAAAATAGTATAAAAGTTGAAATTAATCTGAATGACTCGTAGCAGAACATCATTTCCCCTTTCTTTTAACATTAAGTAAATTTCACTTAAAATCCTTTCTTTTATATTGTCCTCTTTAATCACATATTTCTCTTCTTCCCATGTTTTTTTCTCTATCTCAAATTCAAATGGCATCTGCAAACCAACTTGTCCTTCTGAAACAAGATCGTCCAGTTCCTTATCATAAGTCCTTTGTCCATTGATATCAAATCTTTTTTCCAAAATCAACTGATTATCCAGCTGTGGATTTACTTCTTCCACCTCGATAAGCAGGGCACAAGCCTCTTGTGTATAGACTGATGTTTCACTTAGTCCTTGTCTTTTGCCTTGTTGAAACAAAGAAATCTCCTTTGAACAAGCAATTATCTTCTCCGTATTTTCCAAAATTTTGTCCAAAATATATTTATAAGTAATATCTACACCCGTTTCCTCCATCTTTATTATCTTTCAAATCCTTATCCTTTTAAAGGAGATTGTATATAAAAAATGATCACAATATCCATCTCCTTCCAGTTTCCTTGCCTTTTTCCTTTGTACAAAATAAAAGCTTTCCCAGCGAAGAAAAGGTAGCAAGTTCAATGAATAAATTTGTCAGAGTGTCAAGGTAAAAGCTTACAGTATTCTCCAAATATTATAAAAAACTTTCTTGAGGCTCCCAATCTCCAAAGATAAAATCAACAACAAAACAAAAATAAATTTAATTCTTTGTGTCTCTCTTACCACATTTAAAAAGCCACTTCACCAGGAAAGGGAGTAATTCCAAAGAAAAAAAAACTTTTCACAGGCATAAAGAAAATAGAGGTAAAAGGAAAGTCTCACCGAGTTCTCCACGGTGGGTCTGTTTGCTTAGCTGATCTTGTGGCTTGCGGTTGGCGCAGCTAAATGATCAGCCATTTTACTGGCCGATCTTTACCCTGTTGGCCCAAAGGAGATACTCGGTGCACAGAGGATGCCACCGCTCCTCTGCAACTATCCGAGAGCCTCCTCGACAGAAGACGCTCCTCCAGAGCGTCTTTTCGACCCTCTAAGGAGTCTACCGGCAGGGGAAACTTGATCGGCGAAGGGACGACTCTCTTCGTTCGACCGCACCACCGCGAACCGTAACTGGAAACCCTATGCTGCTGCAATCCATTGACTGGCTGCTTACAAAACCTAAGTATTTTAAGTAAGGTTACAAGTATACAACATAGCGAGAGTACAGACACATGCACACATATACACACACAAACACGCCGCCACCACCAAAAGAAAAAAACCCAACAATTTCAATCATATACTTCCACTAATTCCTTCCTCATTTCTTTGGGAGAACATTCCTTCTCCATGGGCCCTTTTAAACAGCAAGATGTTTAGAATAATAATCAAGTAATTATCCAGGATAATAATAGAAGAATTCAGCTCCAGGGGAAAGCTGCTCCAAAGAAGAGGAGGTTATCACCAAGAAGACCCATATCTAAGGTGACCTTGGCTTGTACTCTGGAAGTCACCTGGCAACAAGTCCAGCTCCCATCACTTCTGTTCCAGATACATGTTAAGGGTAAACAACAGCCCCTGGTTTTTCAATATTTGCATATCAGAAACAAATGTAATTTTCATTGGGTACCAGAAGTGTTCATGTAGCTAACTGAAAAACTCAGTGATGGACATTAGGTCTATGTAAAGCTTTAGATCTCCTTGTATCACTGATACAAGCAGACACTCAAAGAAGCAATTACTGATAGACAATAAGTGTCATCTAATGATAGGAAAGCTATTTGACTGGTGATGTTACCCAGGAGGGTAATGAAACATCTGCAAGCAAACAACCAAGCTCCGAGAGCACCAAGGATTCTGCTGTTGACCTTCTGAACTGATACCTGAAGGAGGACTAAGAAATGGAAACTCAATCAAGATAATCTCCTGGAGAAGAAAGAAACCAGTTGTGGAATAGGTAAAACTGTTATCAGTTCTTGCCTGTGGAATCTTATTACATCAATTTTGTATGTTTGTAAAAGCACAACCTATACATCCTAATAAAACAAATAAAATAAAAATATAACAAAACTGGAAAGATAGTCCAGGTTTGTAAAGGTCAGTCATCTGATTGAAATAACAAACATCTATGGATACAGTGCATTTATAGCTTTCAATAGAGTGGTATTGATCTCTGAAATAAAAGAAGGGAGGTCCCTAATGCCCTTTAAGAAAAACACCAAGTGTTTTTACACCAAATATAAACCTGGACTATATTTCCAAAGTATCTTATTTTCTAGAGCACTCTCACCTACAAGCATTTTATAAATGGATGAGACTCAATTCTGAATGTTTCTATACTGTCCCTTGCTCTTAATGTACAGCAGGGGTGTCAAACTGCCACCCCGCGGGCTGGACGCGTCATCGGGAAACCACACCCACCCCATTTCCAGCAATGGTGAAAAAGCTCCAATACATTGCGCGATGTCACATGACGTCACAAGTTTGACATGTCTGGTGAGTGCAGCAGCTCCCAACCTTTTGGGCACCAGGGACCAGTTCCATGGAAAGAGGTTTTTCCGTGGACTGGAGGGGGCATGGTTTTGCGTGCTGCCTGCATTCTGCAGATGGGGCTTCTTTTATT